AGCTCATTCTATTCACTTTGGGTCTAATGATCGGCTAAACGCCTGCTCAGTGCCTGAAGCAGAGACACAGAAGATAACCATCACTGCCATAACTGCCATCTAAAAGTCTAGTTTTAGGTTCTGTTAAGCCGGCCTGTTCCTTCAATGCTGAACACATTATTTAAAAACCCCTGGAGGACTGAAGTCACAGAGCTCACTAATAAACTTCTGCGTGTGCTTCAAAGCTGCACAGGGAGCAGAGCTCCACTGATGCACTCAGAGCTTTGTTTGATTACATCTTTTTAAAAGCTACAATCCAGGAAAGTGACACAAAAAGCAAATATTCAACAGAAAATGGTGTCAGTCAGTGATAACTGCTGTGTTTTTGTTCTTCATATTAACGTGTGAAATGTAAACAGAAATACAGATGCAGGCGTGAACATGTCATCATCCAGAGGCAGAAGGAGAAGGTGGAGGCATGCAGCAGCAGCAGCAGCAGCACCAACCTTGGATTTCAGACTCCACATCCTGAGATCCAGAAGCTGGACCAACCACACACACACACACACACACACACACACACACACACACACACACACACAGAAAGAAGCCATAATGTTACCATCATAACATCAACAGGTGAGGGAGCCAATCAGTGACCTCACAGGTGTGTGGGGCAGCAGGTAACGTGAGCATTCAGACTCATACAGGTGCTGTGGATACGACGCGGCCACACACAGAGCAGCTTCACTTTCAGCCACGTGGAGTCGACTACATGCTTTTATATTTTGTGTTTGTCGCTCTGTCAGTCAGGTTAGTCCTCATGTGACAAACGACTCGGGCGGCCTTAAACTCTTCAGAGACCTGCAGGTCTGGACCTTAAACCTTATTTTATTCTATCACCAGCTCAAACACTTTGTATGACTGATCTGCTGCTCCCAAACTTATTTCTCCTTCAGGTGACTGGACTGAATTTGTCCTTCATTCAGCAGACTTGCTCACGCGTACCTGATTCGCTCTGTCTGGGCGGAGTCACGGATGGCGCGGCCTCTGTCGGCTCGACGTCTCGCGGCTCTGCAGCTTGCTGATTGGCTGTTTCAGGCTTGATGGTTTCTTCAGTTTTTAACACTTAAAGTTTACAGGATAAAAAGAGGAATGACTGAAGTAAGATTAAAACATGCTCAGTGTAAACATCATGTGTGATTTATGACAGGTAAAAGCAGACAGTGATTATATTCTGAACACCCGTCAGAAGTCCAACATCCTCCTCCATCCTTTCAAATCCAGGTTAGAATCCAGGTAAAGAAGCCGCTGAGCATCACAAACGGCAGGACTATGATGTTTAGGAGCATTTATTTCAAGTCAGGTTCTATTTAGTCAAGCATTAAATAGACGCGCTTCCACTTATCAGGGTTGCTGGAGCTTATCGCAGCTGTCATAGGGCGAGAGGCGGGTACATCCTGGACAGCTCGCCAGTCTGTCGCAGGGCTGACACACAGAGGCAGGACAGCACAGGACTGAGCGTCACCAAAAACACTGGAAGCAGATTTATTTATCCATTAAACTCATTTACTGGTTTTAGAGGTACTTTTGTAAATTAATGTTTAACGTCTGTCCAAATGAACTAAACCATAAACAGCATGCATGTATTATAGTAAAGAGTTATCTACTGAAGTTGAACTAGTGCCAGGCTGTACTTCCATGTAATACCAGTTTGTACCACAAGATGGAGCAAAAAGGTGAAAAAGTTGAAAACTAAGTTGAACAAATGTGTTTTTAAAGGAAAAACAAGAGTTTGTTGATGCTTTCTGACTTCCATTTTGATACAATTTAACTCTGTACAATTTTTAATTCTCACAGATTTATAAAAATTGTGACGTTTGAAGTTTTTTCCGACTTTGAAGTGGAGAAAAAATAAGAAATAGCAGAAGTGTCTGTTTGTCCTGTCATCCGGTCTGCACAGGAAACCGTTTTTGTTCCATGCAAGTGTGAAATCAGCTTCATCCTGTTTGCGCCTTTCACAATAAAAGCCTCTATCTCCACATAAGATGTTTTAGGAAAGTATTTACCACGGCGTCTGAGATAAACATTTGACTTCAGAAACATAATTATTGCCAGTCATGAATTTGGCCCGTACGGGGGTCGAACCCGTGACCTTGGCGTTATTAGCACCATGCTCTAACCTGCTGAGCTAACCGGCCACAGCAGTGTAGAGCTGACAAGACAAAATGACTTAAACCGAATCACTCAGACTCTAATGGCTGTGAATACTAGAAACCTATTAAACAAACTCCTGATCGCTGAACAAAAATACAAAAAACACTGCACTGGCTGTAAAAAAAAAAGGCATAATTATTCATTAAATAGTGTAGTAAAATAATTAAAGATAAACTTATACAAAGTGTGGCTTTCATTCAATATTTCCTTCAAAATTTCTGCATTTAAGGAACCAAAAACCAAAGCGAGATCATCTAAGTGCAAAAGTTAGATTAAAGATCTCTTTCAATAAATAAAACGTATATTTCTCTATAATACTGATGTCAACGTGAACATAATAAAAAGACATCAGTAGTTCAGCAATTTTAAACAATAGCAAAGAAAATGAGCGGTGACAGGAAGTACGCTGAGAACAAATCAGGTTTCCAGCAGAGCTCAGACACTAGCAGACTGGTTGTACTGGGCAGCTCCCACTGTGGAGGAGCTCCAGGGTGGAACTGATATAGAACTTCAGTGTGAAGCCGGTCAGGCTTTGTTGGCAGGACACAGAGACGCTCGCAGGTCCAAATCCACAGGTGGGAATCAGGTCAGCTCCCAGGAGGTTTTCTCAGGTATCAGAAGAGAGTCAGCAGAGCCAGAGGGTGTGTGTGTGTGTGTGTGTGTGTGTGTGTGTGTGTGTGTGTGTGTGTGTGTGTGTGGGGTGTGTGTGTGTGTGTGTGTGTGGTGTGTGTGTGGTGTGTGTGTGTGTGTGTGTGTGTGTCTGTGTGGTGTCTGTGTGGTGTGTGTGTGGTCTGTGTGTGTCTGTGTCTGTGTGTGTGTCTGTGTGGTGTGTGTGTGTGTGTGTGTGTGTGTGTGGTGTGTGTGTGTGTGTGTGTGTGTGTGGTGTGTGTGTGTGTGTGTGTGTGTGTGTGGTGTGTGTGGTCTGTGTGTGTGTGGTGTGTGTGTGTGTGGTCTGTGTGTGTCTGTGTCTGTGTGGTGTGTGTGTGTGTGTGTGTGTGTGTGTGTGTGTGTGTGTGTGTGTGTGTGTGTGTGTGTGTGTGTGTGTAAACTTACCTGTTTGCTTCTCAGGTGTGTCTCCTACATGCAGCCTCTTTGCTTCTTTCAGTCCTGTTCAGTGTTCAGGATATAAATGTTTTAAAGACCACGCCAAGTTATTTACAGCTTTTTATTTGACAATTAAACGTAAAGCGAGCTCTCGTAAAACAGCGCCTTTCCTTCCAGATCTGATGAAATGTTAAATAACTGTTTACAAATCAGCTTTAAAGACTCGTTTAGACCATAATAAGCTTTTAAAAATCTCTGTATTTCTGATTTAAGGCCAACAATGAGGGACGACTGATGTGAAAAAGTAGATATGTACACATGGGAAACTTAAGGAAAAATGGTTCTCGTCCCTTTGAGAGTAGCATACATAAAAACCAGACTGCAGCACTCAGAGAAGAAGATGGGACATAGCAGAAGGAGGAAGCTCTGAATTGTGTGAACTTTATATAAACCTGATTTGGTCTACAGCCAAGTGTGACAGTGCCTTTAAAAACAAAAAGCGGGGTTTCGTTTTTAAGACGTTTAACCGACAGCAGCAGGGAGCTCGGGAGCGCCAGCACCCCGATAATCTTCCTGTGGAAGGAAATCTGAGCTGATAGGATCGAAGCAGCAAGCACACGGTGAGCACAGAAGGAAGCAGTGGTGGCTCGAGATAGCACTGAGCAGAGGAAGAGGGATTCTGCCCTCGTTGTTAATGCTCAACAGGCTTTGCTGTTGGACTGTTGGGGATGTTTGCATGTATTTTGGTTATGGAAAAAAAACCCTCTCTGCACCAAGCAGAGACCTCCAGGGTCTGCAAGGCTTCACCTCAGCTAATCGAAGACCCTGAAGTGGACTTTTGGACCATGTTGATGCTCTTGGAGCCTTTTAATGACGCTACCTGACCAATAACATGCTGTGCTGCAGTGAGGTTATTGTACTAACAGACCATCCAAGAAGTCTGAGCTCCAGCTTTGATGAAAGAAATAAGTGTGATGCTTCCACAAATTCTCTGGATGCACTTGATGACCCAACTCCAGCCTCCTGCCCAACCTGAGACCACCTCCACTGCCTTTAAATAGCACATACACCTGCTCTGTGTAGGGACTGAACCCATAACATTGCCTTTACTAGCACCACGCTCTATCCCACAGAGCTAACAATAGCTTACACGAAAGAGGCTTTAACCAACAGGAAAGGAAGCACAGAGAACAAGTAAAAGCTCTCCACTTTGCCTATATGGGAGTCAAACCTGTGACCTTGTCAGAGTCAGACCTATTTGTCCAGCTGACCTCCATGTTGTTTTTTTGGTGCTGGAAGGAGACACAGCTTCACAGAAGCATCAGTAGGTTGGTTAGCAAGATGCTAACATGTTCATCCGTAACAACACAAACCTAGTCGGCATAAAAGACATGAAACTTTGGCCCGTACGGGGGTCGACCCCGTGACCTCGGCGTTATTAGCACCACGCTCTAACCAGCTGAGCTAACCGGCCACCCTGCAAAGCAGCAATGAAATGAAATGTGTTGTTTCGTTATTGATAATCAAGCAAGTGAGAATAAGTCAAACAGCTTGCTTTCTACTGCCATTAAACAGAGAGAGGTAATGAAACAAACGGGGTTTAAAAAAATTACACGAGTCTTTGTGTCTCTAAAAATGAACTCATATTGTAGCTTTTTCATTTTTATTAAACCACGAGAAAGAAACCATCTTAATGTGATGAGCGGGATTTATTCAGCAAACATTTTCTCACATTTTGGAGGAAAAACAAAATAATTTCAGAGGCTGTGAAAGTTTCTTTATTCAGCTCACGACACGTGACTTCCTGATGCTTCGTCACTACACAACAGTTATTACAGGTTATTTTAAAAGCCGGTGTCCTCGAACATCCTTCACCACTTAGATCCACTACATGACTTTGAACTAAAGCTCAACACTTACAATTCAGACGCCTTATACTGGCTCTCATCCTTTGAGCAAAAAACATGATAAGAAAAACCATAAATGTCACATCATCAACCAAAGTCTCATAAAAATGAGAAAAACAAAGACAACATAAATCTCATGAAACTGGCCTTTTGAAAATCGGCCTGTTTGAAGAGGTCTGCAGCACTGAAAGAGCAGCAGTAACACAAGGGAAACAATCTGTGGGCCACATCTGTAGATTAATGGTGAATTTGCCCTGAAGCCACGCTACTGCTTTCTGTGCATCAAATACAGTCATGTGTGAGTGGTTTGGCTTGAAATACTAATTTCTAGTTCACCACAGTTCCAGCTGTGTGGTGTCTGTATCACAGTTAAGACTGAAGACTCTGGTTTGAGCCCTTAATGAAGGTGTAATGTCCTGTAACTTTGTGAATGAGCAACAGAAGCAGAACACGTTGGAGGGAAAACATTTTAAACCTCTGTTGGGGATAAAACTTGAAGAGGGGTTTTTAATCAGATTGTCCGTTTGTATTTATTTAATTTACAAAGGAGACTCAAAACAACTGCCTGGATTGCAAAGTGTGTTCAGACTTGTGTTCAGCATCGTCTTTGCTGGGTGGTTACAAGACCTTCAAACCCCACCGAGTAGCTTTTCATCCGTTTCCCGAATATGGGAGCTGAGGCTGGCAAATCAGAGCCATGACCATTTGTGAGGTCATCACTTTGTGCCGTGAGGCATTTTCTTCTTCTCTTCTAAGACGCTCTTCTCTCTCCTGACCGCTGTCATGGTCACTCTCTCAGTTATCTCACCTTTCACCTGCGAACTGTTCAGCTTCCTCTCCGGTAGCACTCGTCTCTTTAAGCCATTTCCTTGTCTCACCACGCCCTCTTTCGCCAGCCGCTCCACCTCCATCTTCTCCTTTTCAGTTTTCTCCCGCTCTAGCTTCATCTTCGCTGCCCTCTCCAGTCTTTCCCATTCCATCCTCTCCCTCTCGTTTCTCTCTGTCGTTTCTTTTTCTACTCTTTCTCGCTCTAATTTCTCCTTATCCTGTGCGACTCTTGCCCTTTCTTTGGCTAAGCGCTCCTTCTCTATCCTTTCCTTGTCTATCTTTTCTCTGGCGAGTCTGTCTCTTTCCTTAACAAGCCGTTCCCTTTCCAGTCTTTCTTTTTCTGCTTTCTCCTTGGCGAGCTTCTCTTTCTCAAGTCGTTCCTTTTCTTTGGCGATCCATTGTCTCTCCAATCTTTCCTTCTCCGCCTTCTCCTTCGCAATCCTTTCTTTTTCCAATCTTTCCTTCTCCTTGGCGATCCGTTCCCTCTCCAATCTTTCCCTTTCTGCCTTCTCTTTGGCGATCCTTTCTTTCTCTAGTCTTTCCTTCTCCTTGGCGATCCTTTCTTTCTCTAGTCTTTCCTTGGCGATCCTTTCTTTCTCTAGTCTTTCCTTCTCCTTGGCGATCCTTTCTTTCTCTAGTCTTTCCTTCTCCTTGGCGATCCTTTCTTTCTCTAGTCTTTCCTTGGCGATCCTTTCTTTCTCTAGTCTTTCCTTTTCCTTGGCGATCCTTTCTTTCTCTAGTCTTTCCTTGGCGATCCTTTCTTGCTCTAGTCTTTCCTTCTCCTTGGCGATCCTTTCTTTCTCTAGTCTTTCCTTGGCGATCCTTTCTTTCTCTAGTCTTTCCTTGGCGATCCTTTCTTTCTCTAGTCTTTCCTTGGCAATCCTTTCTTTCTCTAGTCTTTCCTTGGCAATCCTTTCTTTCTCTAGTCTTTCCTTTTCCTTGGCGATCCTTTCTTTCTCTAGTCTTTCCTTCTCCTTGGCGATCCTTTCTTTCTCTAGTCTTTCCTTGGCGACCCTTTCTTTCTCTAGTCTTTCCTTGGCGATCCTTTCTTTCTCTAGTCTTTCCTTGGCAATCCTTTCTTTCTCTAGTCTTTCCTTTTCCTTGGCGACCCTTTCTTTCTCTAGTCTTTCCTTGGCGATCCTTTCTTTCTCTAGTCTTTCCCTCTCCTTGGCGATCCTTTCTTTCTCTAGTCTTTCCTTGGCGACCCTTTCTTTCTCTAGTCTTTCCTTTTCCTTGGCGACCCTTTCTTTCTCTAGTCTTTCCTTGGCGATCCTTTCTTTCTCTAGTCTTTCCTTGGCGATCCTTTCTTTCTCTAGTCTTTCCTTCTCCTTGGCGACCCTTTCTTTCTCTAGTCTTTCCTTGGCGACCCTTTCTTTCTCTAGTCTTTCCTTCTCCTTGGCGATCCTTTCCTTCTCAAGTCTTTCCTTGGCGACCCTTTCCTTCTCAAGTCTCTCCCTTTCTAATCTTTCCCTCTCTGCCTTCTCCCGCTCTGTTCTCTCTCTTTCTTTGGCAATGCGTTCCCTCTCAAGCCTTTCCTTTTCAGCCCTCTCGCTTTCCACTCTTTCTTTCTCCTGTTTCTCCCTCTCTGCCTTTTCCCTCTCCACCCTCTCTTTCTCCATTCTTTCCTTTTCTTCTCTAGCTGCCTTTTCTTTAGCAAGCCTCTCCATTTCCAGTCTCTCTTTTTCTGCCTTCTCTTGAGCTAACCTTTCTCTCTCAGCTTTCTCCTTGGCTTCCTTTTCCAGCTTGTCGTTCTCAATCTTTTCCTTTTCTATCCTCTCCTTCTCCAATCTCTCCTTTTCCAACCTCTCTGCCTCCTTTCTCCTCTCTTCACTTTCCCTCTCCTGTCTGAGTTGCTCCTCAGCCACCTCCAGCTCCTTCTTCTTCAGCACCCAGACTGCCTCCCTTGCTTCCTCCTCTTGGGTGAGAAAAGCCCTAATCTCAGCCACTGCGATGCGAGCGATCCTCTTGGCCTCCATCTTCTCATGGATCGTCCTCAACTCGTTCTTCAGAGTCGAACGCAGCATGGCGCCTCGGACGACGTGGTCTGAGGCTTGAGGTGAAAAGTCTTAAGATTACTGTCCACATGCTCACCACTACGACTCATTAGTGTGCTGGCACACAGCAACCAAGGAAATGTTAGAGATGCAGGGGAAGAGATGCAAGTCCGATGTTAGGGTCAATTTAAAAGCCACACAAATGGGGTCGACTGTTTAAGACTTAGGATTATGTTGCTTTTACAAAACATCCACAGAGTTCAATTTATTAGAATCAAGGATTAAATTATCCCTGTGAAGAACTCGTCAGTGTGTACGACGTGAGACTCGTGAAAATCAAACTTTATCCGATTTAAATTTGGCTGATTTCACCTTCATGGTCGTTGCTTTCCTACCTCTGGGCAGCTTCCACTACTGCTGGTATTTCCTGTTCTGACCGCTTGTACTTTCTCCACTGTCTCAAAACAGCAAAATCTTCAACTTCATCTTGTGGAAGAGAACAAATTAATAGGGACAATTCTGGCGAGGTGTGGTGAGGCTACAGCTCCAGAGAGTGTAGGTGGGTAACATCTTAGAGGCAGAAATAAAAAAACAGTCGATTCGTCACACAGATTCCTAGTTCAGGCGTTTTCCTCTGAATGTTCTTCAGTTTAAAGAGTCGGGACTTTACAGTAAAGGCTGTCTGAATAGTCTTTCTCTGGGAGTTTAATTTCATGGTGCGCAAGTTGAAAAATGAAATAAAAAGTCTTGCTCGTGACGGACTAGCTTTGGGCTCGGACACAATAGACTCTGAGTCAGAATAGCTCTTTTAGTCTCTTGGTTGTAGCCAGAGACCCAGAATCAGAATCAGAATACTTTATTCATCCCGAGGGAAATTAGCAGTCATCACCATCTTTGCTCTACGACATGAAATTTGGGTTAGAGTTGGAGGACTGCGGTGAAATCACAGACAGGAGAGGGCAAGTAGCCACTTGCAGGGATGTCCAGTGATGGAAACCGTCCAGGGGTGCAAGGGAAGATAACCTTGAAGCTGATATCAGCCAAATTTTAAATGACTAAAGGGGCGACCACGATAGGTATAACTGACTGTGAGTCACAGCGGATATTCGAGGCTCCGGTGTTTACTATCCTAGCATGGGTTAACTAATGGCACCCTTTGCTGTCACTGGCAGTTACTTCAATCACTTACGCCCCTAAAATTCACACTTTCTGCATTCTTTAGTTATAAAATTATACACAGTACAGGACACTCTGGACATGCAGTCGGCAGGTTTTAGTACCTCGAGTCGTGTTCTTCTTCTCAGTAGCCTCTCCTGTAACCTCTACTAATAATACACAGAAGGAAAAACAGCCCATGACACACAGCAGTACCACAAATTCAGGCACAAACCCACACAGAGGGATCACTACCTTCTGGGAGTTTAACCTCAGCATCAGTGGCCATTAACACCTCATCTTCTATGAGGACAAACAAATCAGAGAGTTTGATAGTGAAGGTCTACTTGCTGATAACAGAAAGCCAAACTAGCACAGCAAGCGGTGCAAACAACAAAAACTTGACAATAAAAGAAAACAGCGGCGATTTCAGGCGTCTCAGAGTGACTTCTGGCACAGAGTCTCTCTTTTGACTCTGGTTTGGTTATTCTGACTGAAACTAACATTTCTGAGCTTCATGCCTCACTGGTCTGAAATAACTTCAGTGATCTTGTAACACTTCAGTCAAAGCTGAGGATGTATCCACAACTTTTACTCGAGATAAACACTCTCAAACACGTAAAAACATTACTGTATTTAATGGTATTAGTGTATTTCAGAAGCACAAACAGAGCCACTAAACAAAGTCATGAACGACCTCACTCTGTAACAAAAAGGCAGACAGTTAGAGAGTTAAGGCTGTTATGGGCTCAGTTAGTCACTCAGCATCAAACGGAGTCGTGCAGATACCTTTCCTTTTCCCTCTCTTCTTCACCTCTTTCTGCTCCTCTGCAGGGTTTAGGAAGCAGACACACCTGTCAGGTGAGCGCACGGCAGGCTGTGAGCTCACACAAACACAGTCTCTGTACACTACCTTTCCTCAGCCTGTCTCTCCTCACAGCATGGCCTTTTAACTTCTTATCATCTGAACCGATGCACAGAATAAAAGGAAGGTAAACACAATCAGCTGTGACAAAAACAAATAAACAAATTATGCTCGTGCAGGTTTTTCCTGCACAGACGAAGTTTGTTGAACCTTAGGAGGAATCAGACCGAGATCTTAACAGGTTGTCTGCGAAGGTTCTCAGTCACCCAGGTCATCATCGTAGTCTAAGGAGCTCGGAAAGAAAAGCGTCTGGACTTCTTTAGTTTTGTTGAAGACGTTTCATGCGAGAAGCTTCTTCAGCTCTAAGAGCAGCTGGTGGAGAGTCCCAGGATTTAAGCCCTAAAGAAGTCCAGATGCTTTTCTTTCCAAGCTCTTTAGACTATCTGAACAGGTTGTTAATCAGACTTTCAGTCATGCATAAAAGACATTTACAATTCAAGTTTCCATAAATAACAGGACTATTTAAAGACACTGCTGTTAAATGAGACAACAAAAATCGATTCAGGACATCATCCTTATGTTTCACTCCCTAAAAGCAAATTATAACTGAGGTGAAGATGCTCTTATGCTTTCTTTACAACACCATATAATACGAAGGTTTGAAGTTCAAACACTTACAAGTTTAGATTTTAGAAAAATTCATATAGTAACTGTTTAATCTGTTCACCGTCCACATTTTTTGTTGATAATTGGCGAAGCCTAGATGTACGAGGCCACCGTATAGAAAAGAATTAATGCGTCTTTGATCTGATCTGCACTTTATTACTCATCACAGGTGACCTGCATCCTCTAGGTCAGTGTTTCCCAACCACTGTGCCGTGGCACATAGGTGTGCCGTGAGAAATGATTAGTTGGTGATTAGTACTCTCAGTGACCAGCGTGAGTGACAGGCAGAACAATTACATTCTCTTCCACTAGAGGGCAGTACAGCTACTGACCCAGATGAAGGCCCTAACTTGGGTAGTGGTCAGAAAAAAGCAAAAAAGGTACACTGGGGACAAACCGAGCCAATTCTGCGGCGCCTGATCCGTGGGGGGAAACGATCAGTATGCTGTTTGTGACATTTTTGCTCAGCGGTGTACAGTGTGATTTTTCTAATGTGAAATATGTGCCGTGGCTCCAAAAAGTTGGGAAACACTGCTCTAATCGTCTGCAGCTTTGAACACAACAAAGCCCAAAAAGTGATCCAAAGGTCAGAGGTGAGAGGTCAAACATAAGATGTGCACATTAGTGTTTTACAGGCAGAGAAATATAAATGTTGTTAAAATGCACAAAGTGTTAATAAGAAAAGCACACAAGCAGCGGCTGATGACCACCTGATAGCTGACGTTAGGTTAACTGAAGCCAGATTAGGTGACGATATCGGGCTATGTTGAGCCTGCTGTGCAGTGCAGGCATCAGAGGCAGCATCTGACCAATCAGAAACATGGACGTGTCTGCAGAGCGACCGACTCTCCAAACAAAGACAGAAGCAGCGTGTGTGCATCATGTATATTAATAAAGTTTATTTAAAGCCAGGAAGGGCTGTAAGCTGACAGAGTCATTATTATCACAGCTCTCGTGATGACACAGTTACAGCTAAAATGACATTAATGAATGTGAGATATTAGTGACTTAACCCTTTAAGACCTACCACAGAACCAAGTCCGCCAGAGCTTATATTATAGTTTTACATGCTGTGGAGCCATTTTTGGAAGCATTTCAAGTTGCTATACATCAATACAACAATTATAGCCCAGATTTTAATAATATGTCTGCATTAAGTGCATAGTAATTACATAAATTGTAAAAAAGTGCAATAAACTACAAAAAAATTGAAAAGCGTTTTTTGTTTTTTTAACATATATTTGTAGTTAGAGAAATTTAAGAGGCTTATCCCTGAAAACTGTAAATACAAAAAAGTTGCACAAAATAGTTTCCCACCACAGGAAATTTATTTTGAGTGTCTTCATAGTTTTATTTTTGAAAGACACCAATTTTTATATACTGCAGGAAAAACGAAAATAAATATTATACTGCAAATTTGCAAAAAAGCAGCATATGCATCAAAATAAACTATTTCCAGCAGTGCAATATGAGTCCTCAGCATCTCAGAAACGACACAGAAAGTCATAAAGTCAAAGATAACTTTTAAAAACACCAGTATAGGCTCATGAGGCCCTGATGGTAAAAAATTACATTTCTGCGAAAATGACGTCACTTCCGGTTTCGGGCAGGTCATGGCGGACATGCGATAGTTCGCACTGACGTCTATTCCAACGTAGGAAGTGTTATGAACAGCTGATCGGATCGGCAAAGCGTGTTTCTGGAATATTATGTTTTTGTTGCTGCAAGTGCTTTTTATGCAGTTTTTGCAAAGCTATATGTGGAAGGAAACCGTGACCGAGGACAAGCTGATGGCATCAGATGTAAGTACAACTCCTCCGGTTTCATATGCAAAACAAATTATTGCGCTAGCTCACGTGGTTGCAGAGCTACCGGGATTTAAAAATAGTTACGCAAAACAGAGCGTGCCCGCTCCGACCGGCTCTAAAGGGTTAAACCTGTGCAGAGTTTAGAAAGCTGCAATCGTGCTGATGATAAATGGGGAACAAGTAAAGAGAGAAGTCAACACATACGAGCGGTAAGTGCTCTATTTTAGGATTTCATGCTGAGCTTATAGAACAGTGACCATGTTTTTACACTTAACAATCTTTGGTCCTCTTACGATCCACGCTCTGAGTTCTGAGGGGTCGTGGCAGGACTTTGGTGAGAGGTGGTGATTTCATACTAGCTGATTATCTCAGCAATAATCTGCTGTGAAGCAGGTGAGGCCAGCAGCACAAGTTACCACAAACAGCAAACCTTCTTTATAACCCTGGAAACTCCCGAGTGACCTCACAAAAGTCCGAGTTATGTTTCTGCGCCACTGGTATGAAATGACTGCAAACTGATCAATACGTAACAACGCAGAAGCACACACCACAAATAAAAACTACTCAAACTACAGATTTCTGATCAGTTTCAGCAACGTCGCCGTAAAGATTTTAAAACTGACGTGAATGAAACCACGTGATGGACGCTCACATCACACCCCTGCTTTTTGTTACTGTGTGCAGAGAAAATAATCACAACAGCTTATGGGCTCACATACATTACGCACTAATGTGTTTGTGCAGTAAGTCCAGCACTTTACGATAAAATAAGTCATAAAAGGCAAACATTTATGCTGCGTGCAAAGATGAGAACATAAAGGTGAATAAAGAGGATAAACGCCCTCTGTGACATCAAAGATCGTGTCCTTGAGTTTGTATAAAACTGACCTGTGACGACAGACATTTAAGGATAACTGATTTTATATAACGCTTAGACCAAAAATGTAAACATTAATTAACAAATTAAATGACTAATATGTTGAATATTTCACTGGTAACTGCATCATAAATTATACAGAAATGAATAAAGGTGTTTATAGTTTCAGAAAACGTGACAATAATTACTTTCCCTTTTGAATAAATTTAGTCTGAATTTTTCTATTGAATTATTTTTTATTTGTTTCCCTTTGACTGGTTGTCAGTGGTGTCTTGTAGTATTTTATTTCTGTATTGTGAATTATTTACTGGCTTGTTTACTTTGTTATCCTGGCACTTTCGACCCTCCGTACGGTACAGCTACAGCACCAAAGCTCTCGCTTTGTTCGCGGTCGGTCGCTTAGGTCTTCTGTCTGTTTAAAAATGTTATCATGAATGAGAGCGGAGGTAACAGCTGGGTTAAATTCAAACTCGTTATCGTCCCTAAAAATGAATTTCCTTCAGTTTTCCTCCAGTTGCCACTAGCACCTGCTTTACCGTTTGACCTCTGACCTCGCAGGACATTTTTATCTGATGGAGAAAATCTGTTAATGTCAAACAAACGAATCCCGTAGATCGATCGTTATCTGGAATCCCTTCAGCCTTCAGCTCTTCCTGCTTGTGGTGTTTCGGATTTATTAAATTAAAACTCGGACCAGTCTGCCCTGTTTGGCCTCCTCCAATCATACTGGGTTACAGCACATCCCAGTCTGGTCGGGACCAGGCAGCCTCCCTACCGCCTGTGTCTCTGCTTCCTATTGGTTCTGGAGGTCCAGTATGACCCCTTTAACCTCCCCGTCATCCGAGGAGGCTGTCCGGCCCTCCTCCTCCTCCATCATCTCAGAGGCCGCCGCTTCCTCCTCCTCACCTGGCTCTAAGGGCGAGGACACTACGTCATAAAGGAAGGTGAAGAAGCCATAGATCCAATCAGAGCCCTCCTCAGCTAAAATATTAAGAACCTCCTCGAGCGACTCGGCATTCGCACTACCGCTGCCATCTTTGGTCAGGCCTGACGGAAGAGAGAGGAAGAGAAGAAAAGGGACGGGTGGAAGTGCAGAGGGATCAAAGGAGGAAATTATAAAGGAAAAGAAGTGGAAATGATGCGATGGAGGGAGGATGGACGGGGGGAGTAAACTGGAACAAAAAAGTGTGGTAAAATAAATAAATACAGGGTGATGAGACGGGACAAGAGAAAGATAGTGAGTTAAAGATGAATTATAGACATTTAATAAAGATTTTACTTCCTGTCTCAACCACGTCAGATGACCTCTGACACGACGTCCGCTCAATAAAAACGAACAGAGGCGGCCACGTTCCTGCTAAGACTACTTCAAACACGACATCTATAACACAGCTTCCCATTAAGACTTCATACTGCCAGCGGATGCTATCAACACTCTGTTGTTATTTACAGGAGGTTGCAATACTTGCCTGGCCCTATCAAAACACAGACTCAATACATTTCTTATTTCCGGTCATTTATCACCTGTTCAAACTCTGGATGTTTATTTTTAACAAAGTTTCAAACAATGAGTTGGCAGATTGATCTAAACACTCAGGTTCAAGCTGTTTTTTCTATTCTTAGATCTGTGTGATGTCACAAGGAGGGTTTTACCTGATATGGTCATTTCACACAAGCCCCACCCACATTGCTTAAAGGAAGCAGATACTATGGCTCAGATCAGACATAAGATGAACTGATGGGGTTGCCCACAGCCCAGACAAAGAAGGATTATTCTAAACTGGGAATCATGCAAAGCTGCCGTGGTAGAGTCTGAAAACACCACCTCCTGTTTGCACTCTCGGTTACTGTCTTCAGTTTACTGGCAACAAAACCTAAAAAAGTAAAAGCTCTCGGCCTCATAAATAATAAGATCATCTTTGAAGTGAAAGACAGAGCAGAAAACTGATCTTTGAGATACATAAACAGGTTTCAAATGAAAACTTCCGCTTTTGTTGAAGGTAATGACAGTTGTTGAGAAACTCAAAGAAAAGTGTCCAAAAAAAAAAAGCTTCAAATCATGGAAACAGAAAACGATGCCTGCAGCAGATCCATTTCTACCTGAAGATCAGAGGCGGGCTGTGCTGTGGTTGGTTTAAACACTCGTTTTCAAACTGGAGACAGCTGCGTAATGAAGCCGCTCTAGTAGCCACAAATGTTCACAATCCTGTCGAGGTTTTGTAAAAGCAGCGTAACACTAAGTGCTAAATCTGAACCAGTGAAATAATGAACGGTGTTTAAGGCCCGTCTGAGACCTCAACACACTAAATTTAAGTAGAAGTGAGGGAACATGGTCTGGTTTTCTAGTTCTACTTAGGTATGGAAATATTCAACAGTGTCCCTTCAGCACTCTGATCATTGATGTTCTCTGTTTATTGTGCAGGATTTGTGAAACTCCTTGGCTTTACAGAACGTTTATCCTTCCATCCATTTTCTCCGTATGTTGTTCGAGGTCATGGTGGCAGCGAGCTGAGCCTCCCTTTCCTTGACCTCTCCTTGGACACACCCTTCAGCGGTCCCAAGCCCTCTGAGACACATAATCTCTCCAGTGCGCCCCGTGGTCTCCACCCAGTAAGACTTGAGCGAACCACCCAATCTTAGAAGTGTCCAGCAGCAGCAGCTCGAGCCAGCGCGTCTACCGAACGACCCTCTGTCTCAGAGAAAGGCTGAAGGGCTGCTGTGCCAGCTTTCTGTGGCTTAGGGATTCATAATAATATGCATATGTAATGTATAACTTAACCATGAAAGAGGAAGTAGAACTATGACAACGTACCAAAAGGCCAATTCTTATAACATCCAGATGTTCAGCTGATGTCTGTTTACTAATTACTTGAAGAAGCTTGACCATGACGTCCTGCTCTCATGTGGGAAAAGCCTACCTCACTTTCTCTTCATGCTGGAGATCCAACCCTTACTGACTGTCTCATTTTTTCCCAACCAACCAGCCGACAATCAAAACTTTGCGCCGCGTAACTACACCCTGAAACATGACAACACGCCTGCTGTGTCTCACGACCGTTTCAGACCTTCCTCTCTTGATTTATAAATTCATACTTGACAGATTTTAGCAACGACCTGCAGGGACACTGATACAGTAGATCAGGCACTTCTCTGTGCCAGCGATGGACATTTAAACTGTCAGAACCCTGAGCTGCAGCTCATTTTCATTTATTTTTATTGCAGTTCTGCAGTCATCTTTATATTTGCATGCTTCCCCTGTTTCACAGCACCGTCTCTCAGGGTTTTTTCCTCCATTAGCAATGGACTCGTGGCCCACACACTTTCATCTCTGAGCATCTCGTCTGCGTTTGCAGTCACGCTGCTGACTCTGTGTTAAACCTGAGCTTTGTGGCTTCCTGTGATGCTTCAGCTGGTTTTAAGCTCAGTTTATGTTCGACGGGTTAATCTCTGAATCCGAGGCACTGTCACACGTCTGTAAACCACATCAGGCAGGCAGAAAAGCGGGCAGCAAACAGCAAAATTAAAGCAGACTTGCCAAGCAGAACTTTGGCGTCCTCCACGTCAAAGTCTCCGTCTCCGTCTGTGTCGTAGGCCGTCAGTTTACCTGGAGGAGGAAGAGGAGATGAAGTTCAACCAACAAATTCTGAAAAACACGAAAATGTTTGTGCATGCAGCTACCAGAGTCAACTGCAACACTTTAAAGTTCTCTGTGTCTCATATTTTCTATGTGCCGCTCGTCTTGGATCGTACTGAATAAAACTTTAAGCCCTTGTTGTAAATTTTGGTTATTCTAAGAGTCGGATTCAAAGCGCCAGAAAAAAAAGAAAGGAAGGAAAAATGCTGGTCTCTGTGCTGGCATCACGGTGGCTACATCTGTGTCCATCCATGGTTTGCATTCACCAGTTTTGTTAAGATGGTATCAGTTCTCTATTTGATGCCATTAAACCACAGCAGAGGAAGAAAATGTAATGAGAGGATGTTACTACAAGAGCTCAGGTGGTGAAAAAGGACAAAGGAAAATGTAACAAAGTGTGTTTTTGATGTTTTTCATCTCTCTGCAGCATGTTATAAATAATTAGTTCTTTATGGTTTAGCTGCACATTAGTGAATCAGGCCTTCGGTCTTGTTTCGGTCATTTTCGGTCTGATGCCGTCACAGGGACGGCTTCAGAGTCACAGCAGTGGTAAATGAAGCTCTGACCATGTGACAGAAACAGACTAAAAGCATCCTCTCTGGGTGCAGCTTCACTGCTGCTCTATCAAATAAAGGCAAAAATAGTCACAAAAATAAAAGCATGCATCAGTCTGTTAAAGTGCACAGAGGAAGTGTCTCTGTTAAAAGAGGAAGGATGTGGTGATGAGGAGAATTCTGTCTGTTATAAGCAGCAGCCCCACCGATCAGACCCCGACTCAAACCACAAATCGAAAGCATTTCAAATGCTGCTGTTTAGTTTTGTGGACCTCTCAGTTAGCCGGACCACCAAAACCTATAAAACAGTAAAATATAAAACGAGCACCTTTAGTCCCATCATATTAAATATTAAAGAGAAGGCAGACATCTCTACAGCTGCCAGCTCAGAGACCAGGCCACAGGCAGGAGCTTACCAGGCGGTAGGCCGATCTCTTAACCTTTTAACTTTCTATTTCATTTTCATAAAACCTGTCCATACTGAGTTAATAAAGGCT